TCCACAACCCGCTACCCCTGCTCGCATTCTCGTGTGCTCGTTCTCTCAAAAAAAAAAAAAAATCAGAAGGCTGACTTTCATCATCTAATAGTCTAGAGATAGAAAATAAAACCGTTAATGTCTTCACAATTAGTTTTGAATTTCAAGGCACCACTTTCAGCAGCAAGCAGGTAATTTCTTCATAGACCATCTAAAGGTAAAAATATGAAGTGTGTAGAGTTTCTATCAAATACAGAAATGACTTGCTTGACAGATGTTTGGATTTATAAAAATCTCAGCCCTCTGGTTCATAAGTTCCAACCCAGAAGAGAACATTTTTTTTCCCTCAGAGCCTTAAACAGCTGTTGCAAAAACCATTCTAAAGATCCAGAACAATCCACAACAAAGGTCCTCAGCTCTTTACCCGAAGTCTATTTATTTTATGAATATGTCTACAAAGCAGAGTTATTTCACTTCTGGCATCCAGCAAATTAAATTGCAACTTGGAAGGTGAGAGAAGGTGAGGAAAACAGGAAGAAGCAACGTGAAGAAAGACACGATGGTCTGCTCGACAACAGACAGACAGCTATAAACCTAGATGCACTCACAGATACCAGGCTGGGGACAGTTAATTCTCTAGTGTACTTGCAACTTTAATAGTGTTTAGGAGTGTCACTGTGTTACAGCATATAACTTCTAGATGACTATTAAAACAATGGAAGGCAAAGGAGGATATACTGAAACAAATTTTTATTTTTTCTGTGGAAAATTTGGAACATATATGAAGAATATGAAAAAAAAATCCCTCGCAATCTTATAACTTAGAAATACTCATTGTCAGCCATTTGTTTTATTTCCTTCTAGTTGTCAACATGGGCAGTGAATTTGCATAGCACTAAGATTTTTTATTAGCTCATTTCCTAATGGCTTGGCCTAGCTTTTTATAGAGAAGCTTATTGTTAGAGCCTCTGAGAGGAATCCACAGAGCCAAAGGGAATCTGGATATCCTCTCCCCTCCGGTTGTAAGCCAAACTGGTCTTCTAGGAGAAACTATGAAGAATGTTGGAGTCACTCTGAAGTGATTTTTAAATTACTTTTTTACTGATATATGTTAAATGTGTTGTGATACAACGTGAAATCTGAGGACAATTTTGTTGGTCTTTGACTAGTTCGTTGTCATGAACTACACAAGTAGCGTCCTCCGCTGGGTAGCGTCTGTTCCCTCATGCAATTACCAGGACGCAGTTAAAATACCTGTTCCCTTGTTTGTCCCTCTGTTAGGTGGGACTTTCATTGTTCAAAAAGAATGGTGGCTTCAGCAGTTTCTCATGTATCAAAATGTCCACACATCCGTGGATTTGCTTTTCGAAATACTAGTTTTGCAACTAGTATTCCCACTCAGTTAAGTGTTTGCCTTCAGCTCAGGTCATGATCCCAGGGTCCTGGGATTGAGCCCAGCTTCCGTCTCCCTGCTCAGTGGGAAGTCTGCTTTTCCCTCTCCCTCTGCCTTGCCCCCCCCCCACTTATGCTCTCTCTCGCTCACTCTTCTCTCTCTCTCTTTCAAATAAATAAATAATCTTTTTTAAAAATGCCAGCAAGTATAGAGAACATAAAAACACACACATGAGGGGCACCTGGGTGGCTCAGTTAATCGTCAGACTCTTGATCTCAGCTCAGACCTTGATCTGAGGGTCTTGAATTCAAGCCCTGCATTGGCCTCCATGCTGGGCATGGAGCCTACTTAGAACAACAACAACAAAAAAACAACAAAAAAAAAACCACACACATGAATCCAACATTTGAATTAGTGAATATATTTACCTTTTGTAATCTTGCAGGCCTTTTTTTTTTTTTGAAATAAAAGAAGCAAAGCATTAGAAATGAATATGTAAGACCTCCCCAGTCTCTTCTAGGTCTCAAGCTGTTCCTGCCTTTCTCCCAGGCATCCACTCCCGGGGATTCATTTTTGAAAGACAGGTATTAGCCACCAGCAGAAATCTGCATACCTTATAGGTTTGCTCTAAGGATGGGATGAGGTAGTATATATAAAATGTTAGCACACATCCTAAGCACATAGAAAAGACTGAAAAATACCAGGTACTACTATGAGAACTAGGAAGATAAAGGAGGATGTTCTAGAAAGTGAACTAACTGTTAGCTACGCAGAATGTGTCAATGCCCAGCTTTTCATTTTTTCTTTGACCATGGCTTAATATAGCTCAATGGTGGGATTTTAGCAAGAGGCAGGGGGTGTCTCATGTGATTGGGGAGTGGTCCTATCAGCTAAGCTCTAAACCAGCATTGAAAGGGAGATTCAGCCCATTTCCATTCCACAGACACATATTGAGTGACTAGTACTTACAAGAACAAGGTGAGTCCCATCAGAGAGACAGACAAGTGAACAGGTATTTTAACTGCATCCTGGTGCTGCATGAGAGAACAAATACTATGCAGGAAGAGGACGCTTTCTGTCTGGTGCCTAACAAATGAGGTAGCCAAAGACCAACAAAAAATGCCTTTCTAATTCATGATGAACATAAAGCTGAGAGAGGTTGTATAGTGGAAACAAATTCATGAATCCAACAGATTCTAGTAAGCTGGATATAGACTAAAATTTAAAAGATGAGATTTTATAGGGATGGATATAAAGTCCCACAGATTGTAAAAACCAACTGCCCCAAAACAGCCAGGCAACAGCAGGTCATTGACAACAGTCTCAGGGATGTTAGCTGGTTGGTGCAAACACAATTTTAGCTAATATATTACGTAGTTGCAAAAAGTCATGTAGTCTTAGACTACATTATTAGAGGGAGCCCAGTATTACAGCCAAATAATGCTCTCATTCTATTCCCCGCTCCCTGGAGCACATCTTGCTCACATTTGAGTGATACGTGTTTAGGGAATATTGACACATTTTAATATGTAGAGGAAAGAAGATGGTAAAGGAATGGAATCCACGAATCTATAGAAAAGGTAAAGGTTTAAGATAGCTAGCTTAGTGGGGATATATATTGAGGGCAGGAATATAGTAGATGGCTTGACATAGTTTAAGATTTTTTCACGTGGGGGCTGCCTGGGTGGCTCAGTCAGTGACACATCCGATTCCTGGTTTCGGCTCAGGCAATGATCTCAGGATCGCGAGATTAAGCCCCACATCGGGCTCCACACTCAGCATGGAATCTGCTTGAGATTCTCTCTCTCCCTCTCCCTCTGCCCCTCCCTCCACTTGCTCTCTCTCTCTCTCTCAATCTCTCAAATAAATAAATAAATAAATAAATAAATAAATAAATAAATAGAATCTTTAAAAAAAAAGGATTTTTCACGTGGTCTCAAACTTTACAGGAAGTTATAAGATGACAAACTTTACATGTAAGGAAGACCATCATAGACATTATAAATGAAATGGTAAGCCTTCTGAAGAAAACAGTTCCCTGTTACTGGATGAATTGGATGAAATAAACTGTCAGATACATTGTAGAGAACTTTCTTGCATCAGGTAGAGAAATCTCCGTTCTGACTCTGAGACTCTAAAAGTACCCTGGTCGTCGTATATAAATGTAAACAAGCCATATGATTATTCGCCTCTGGGTTAGGTATGGTCAAAGCACATAGCTGACTTTACTATATCCAAGTCTTTTCTATGCCCAAAGATCATGCATTTTTTTCCAGTCTTTATTTGCCTAAATATAGGCTCTTAAAAATCGGTGACTACTTCACACCCACTAAAATGGCTATAATAATATAATAATGACAACAACAACAACGGTAATTTTTTTAAACAGAAAATACCAAGTGCTGGTGAGGATATAGAGAAATTAGAACCCTCATATATTGCTGGTGGGAATGTAATGCCACCTTGAAAAACAGCTGGGTAGTTCTTCGAAGAGTTAGACATACAATTACCATATGACCCATCAATTCCCCTCCTAGATATAGACCCAAGAACACTGAAGACATACGTTTATACAAAAAGTGTGCATTAATATTCAAAGCAGGACTATTTATGATAGCCAAAAAGTAGAAACAACCCAAGTGCCCATCAACTACCGAACACATAAATAAAGTGAAATACAGCTAGACAATGGAATATCATTCAGCCACAAAAAGGAATAAAGTACTGTAATGCTACAAGATAGATGAACTTGGAATACATGCTCAGGGAGAGAAGCCAGACACCAAAGGCCACACACATGCCATTTATATGAACTATCTAGGATAGGCAAATCCATAGAGAAAGAAAGGAGATTATTGGTTGCCAGAGACTGGAGAGGGGAGAGGAGATATGAAATGATTGCCGTGGGAAAGGGGTTTCTCTGGGGGGTAATGAAAGCGTTCTAAAATTAGTTTCAGGTGATGATGGTACAACACTGTGACTGGTCTGAAAAACACTGAACTATACACTTTCAAATGGTGAATTTTATGTTATGTGAATTATATCTCAATAAAAAATACCAATAAAAAATAATATCGACTATTTGGAATGTTCTAGTTTCAAACATAGAATATGTTTTTAGAATTCTGAAACATTTCTATTTTTCCCACTTTTCCAAAGGACATGGAGGCTTTTGCCCCAGCTTTGCTTCCTTCCTGGCTCAGCTAGTTTACCATTCCGTACATTTATATATTTTTCTAGATCCACATGAAATGCACTGTCATTTCAAAACAACTTGTAAAATAAACTATGAAGATTGTTTTCTAACTTTTCTTTCCTGAATTTCTTTTGACTCTCTCACCATGGTGGGCACTGACCCCACACTCAAACAGAGTAGAAGACCAAGCACAGAACTGCATTTATGTGGGGAAATTTGTGGGCTGGGGACTGTCAGAACAGGACAGGGAGGAAGGGATTCCAGGTAAAGTAAGAGAGAGCCAAAAGTTTGGTGTGGCTAGGCTTCACATTTAGAGCTAAAATTAGCGGAGATCATCAAATTTCAGAGCAAAGAATTAGGTCAATGTTGTTCCTTCATGAAGAGCATCAACCTTTGGTTATTTGAAGGCTGTCTACTGAGTTTGGAAATTCCTCTTCTATATGTTTATTCGTTGCTACTAATACTATTTCTAACTCCTAGCACCTTAAAAACAGCAGGAAAGAGAAGTCTGTAACTCCTCTCCTCGACACTTAAGCGTCTGGAGGGCAGTGACTGAATCCGGACAGAGCTGGCTGGTGTATTCAAGACACTGATACACACATGGTGCACATTTTGGCAGTGAGTGGATGCTTTTACATGATGAAATCACGGGGGTGAAATCAGGCATTTGTGTGAAGTTCATGAGCTTTCACTCCATTGGCTTCAGTAGTTGGGAAATAGCTGCATGTGGATGCCATAGAAAGCCTCCTTCAACCCCATTTTATCGTAGTAATGGGAAATTCAAAGCACGTTTCTCAACAGGAAGGAACTCCGGCTGGCGGCAGTTCCCGTGCAGCCACTAGATGGCACCATCTCGCCGGATGTGATCAAGCTCCGCAGAGAGGAGAATGACTCTCACTAAATAACTTCATCAGATACTTCAGGAGCTGTCGTTTGCTTCTTTCTTTCCCCCACCTCTAGAATTTTCCTGTGTGTTCCAGATCATGTAAATACAGATGTGCCAGAGTCAGTCATTCAAATCAACTGTTTGGTGACTCACACCGCGCCGTGTAACAGAACATTTCCCTTTGTTTTCAGTTCAAGTATTTTTTTTTTTTAAGATTTTATTTATTTATTTAAGAGAGAGAGAACGAGAGACAGAGAGCACGAGAGGGAAGAGGGTCAGAGGGAGAAGCAGACCCCCTGCTGAGCAGGGAGCCCGATGCGGGACTCGATCCCGGGACTCCAGGATCGTGACCTGAGCCGAAGGCAGTCGCTTAACCAACTGAGCCACCCAGGCGCCCTCAGTTCAAGTATTTTGACAATTCCTTTGTCACACATTCCTCTGTCTTTCCTACAGTTACATCAGTGGACGGGATTGCTTTTCTGTTGTACTCAGACCGAAGGACAGGGAAATGACTATCTTCAATGCACTGGCAATTCTTTTCCAGTACATCAATTTCCTAGCCCTCTTTAAGATCTCACTCATCTGATTTTGCACTGTGTTAGGGAGCTCCAGCTATTGGAATGATGTTACGGAAAAGAAATGTCCCAAGACACAAAGTAGACCCGGCTTTGTCTTTGTTTTTTGAAGAACAAAACACAACAAAACAAAAATGAGAGGAAACGTTTATTCACAGTCAGAAGCTGAACCAGCAAGACCAGGCATGTTAGTAAGACTGCGTGACCTGTGATCACTTGAGGTGGGCCCCCTCCCCGTCCCCCCGGCCCCAGACAGCACCCCCTCTAAAGCCAGACACACGCGGGCCCCCAGAGGAAAATCTAGCAAGTCCAGAGCCAATAGAAGAAACTAATGCAAGACGCTTAGGGGCGAGAAGAGAGAAATGAGACTCACTTAGTCTAAGGTCACAGGGTTGCACATGCTGCCAGTGTGAGGCTCGTCCTGCAGAAGTACAAAGCTGGAACCACCCGCAGGCTTGGCGCTGGAGGCTGGGAGTTCCACCTCTTGGCTGGGGCCCTGTGGCTGTCTTGAGAAATTCTTGAGTTTGGGATCTCACAGAATCTGAAGAAGTGGCCGCCCTGAGGTGGTGGCAGCCCCTGCAGTGGGAGGTGTTGAGGAAGGGGCAGCAGACCCGACCCAAGAAGGTGGAAGGCGTATGGGGTAAGAAAAGACACACTGGCATGCTTTCCTCAATTTCCTTATGGTGCTCATTTTCCACAGGGGGAAAATAGAAATAGTAGAGTCTAAATTACAAAACAAGGTGTGATCTAGTTTTGTTGTTGTTGTTGTTGTTTTAAGAGAAAAGCATTAAGAAACAGGTCTCAATTGTGTGGACAAGATTTTAGAATCTGTTTATGTGACTGAGGTCTTCAGAGATGACCTTCAATTCTAGAAGCGTATGGGTAAAGATTTTTTCTTTTTTTTTTTTTTGCTGGCTCTGTCCTTGGGATATAAACAGAACCTTGCATCACTTTGACATTCATTAAAAAGTAGAGTTCTTTTAAGTTTTGAATACTCTGGATCAATTTTTATATAGTATTACATTTTTAATAATCCTTATTTCCTTTTTCTTTTTAAACCCCACCTTTCTGGGCACCTGGGTGGCTCAGTTGTTAAGCGTCTGCCTTCGGCTCAGGTCATGATCCCAGGGTCCTGGGATCAAGCCCCGCATCAGGTTCCCTGCACAGCGGGAAGCCTGCTTCTCCCTCTCCCACTCCCCCTGCTTGTGTTCCTGCTCTCGCTATCTCTCTCTGACAAATAAATAAATAAAATCTTAATAAATAAATAAATAAACCCCACCTTTCTGTTCTTTGGATCCAGATATCATGTAATAAGATGTGGCATCATACATTTGTACCTTAGAACCATGGTCTAGGGTCTTGGTGCTTTTGTTATTTAAAAAATGATATGTCCATTGGGGAGGGTATGTGCTATGGTGAGCACTGTGAATTGTGTAAGACTATTGAATCATAGACCTGTACCTCGGAAACAAATAATACATTATATGTTTAAAAAAAAAAAAAAAAGAAAGAAAGAAAAGAAGACGAAGCTAGTAAGAAGGGAAAAATGAAGAGGGGGAAATTGGAGGGAGAGATGAACCATGAGAGACTATGGACTCTGAGAAACAAACTGAGGGTTTTAGAGAGGAGGGGGATGGGGGGATGGGTTAGCCTGGTGATGGGTATTAAAGAGGGCACGTATTGAATGGAACACTGGGTGTTATATGCAAACAATGAATCATAGAACACTACTTCAAAAACCAATGATGTAATGTATGATGACTAACATAACATAATAAAATTAAATTAAATTAATAAATAAAAAATGATATGTCCTGTGAGAAAACACAAATGTTAAAGAAAGTAGACCTGGATTCAGCTTTGGGAGAATAAATTGCATTCTGGGATGACAAAGATTTATGTATGATTTATACCCAGCATTAGTCATAATCAAGAAATGCTGGCTGCAGTAACAAAATACTGATCGTTTCAGGGGCTCTAACGCAACAAATGCTTATATCTCACACTCATCACAGTTGGCTGTGGGTCTCTCAGGATCCACACCCTCATTCAAGGATCCAGGCTCTTCCTTGCTGGTGGTTCTGCCATCTTCTGGGGCTTTCGTTTCCTCCACCAATGCTTTGCATCCTATCAGCCAGGGAGAGAAAAGAATGGAAAAATTATCCTCCACTTAAGTCGGGAGGTGACATCCACCACATCTGCTGGCACTCCGCCATTGAGCACTGTTCCCAGGAACCCACGCCAGGAAGAAGAGAAGCTGGACATTGGGCGTAAAATATTCTGGTATTTACTACATCTATACACCAGCAATATAGAGTTTGGTGAGATACAAAACTGTTTTTTTGTTTTTTGTTTTTTTAAGATTTTATTGATTTATTTGACAGAGAGAGACACAGCAAGAGAGGGAACACAAGCAGGGGGAGTGGGAGAGGGAGAAGCAGGCTTCCCGCCGAGCAGGGTGCCTGATGCGGAGCTCGATGCGGGGCTTGATCCCAGGACCCTGGGATCATGACCTGAGCCAAAGGCAGACATTTATGACTGAGCCACCCAGGTGCCCTGATACAAAACTATTTGTAAGAAATGTCATGTTCTGCTTCTTAATGTACAACTCCAACAGACCCTGCCCACTCGTGCCACACCCAGTCAAGCAGGAGCGAAATCTGGCCTTGGGAAAGAGACCCCAAGAGGGGGGCAGTGTCAGTTTGGGGACATGGTACCTGCTGGGCAGTGAGGGACACAGTGTTTCTGAAGTCAGTTGGAGCAGTTCAATAACTGTTTGCTAAGCTCCAACTTGGTAAATTGTGCCCTTAGGTCTTACTGGCCATGGATTCTTGATGGTCATAATAATGATGGTTAATGATAGCATGGTGCTCACCATGTCAGAGACTACCCTAACTCATTGCCGCGTATTCACTCATTTTCTCCTAACAACAAACCTATGGTAGGAACTGTTGTTCATGCTATTTGATTGATGAGGCACCAAAGCAAAGAAAGGTGAAGTAACCCCCTCAAGGTCACTTGAGATGGGGTAAGTGGTGGAGCTGGGACTCCAGGCCCGAGAGGCTGACTACAGAGTCTCGGCATTTAACTGGACTGTGTGCCTTTCCAGGCTGCTTAATTGATGAGGTTAGGTTTGTGCTATATCTGCTGGTCTACTCACCCCCTGTTATGTGCTGAATTGTGTCTCTCCAAGATTCATATGCCGAAGCGCTAACCCCCAGTATCTCCGAATGTGATGGTATCTGGAGACAAGGCCTTTAAAGAGGTGATGAAGTCACAAAGAAGCCATGAGAGTGGGACCTAATCGAATCTGACTGGTGTCCTCATATGAGAAATTCTGGATACACAATGAGACATTCGGTGCACATGCACAGGAAGGACCATGTAAGGACCCAACAAGAAGGTGGCCATCTGCAAGCCAAGGAGAGAGGCCTCAAAAGGAACCCAACCCATCCAGACCACACCTTGATCTTGGACCTTCAGTCTCCAGAACTGTGAGAAGATAAATGTCTGCTGTGGAAGCCACTGAGGCTGTGGTATTTTGTTATGTCAGCCCTAGGAAGCTAGAACACCCCTCCCTATTCTGCCCCTCTGGCCTCCGCTCTCCTCACCACACTTTCTTGTGTCTTCCTTTCCGCATCAGCTCCTAGTCCAGCCGCCGCCCCTGTGTTCACGCCCTGTGGTCTACCAGCTGCTGATGTCCCCGTGGTGGCCATGCTCCTTGCCAGAGCTGTATGGGTTCTAGACTGTTGTTTCACCTACTGTTTCTGTGATGGACCAAATGTGTCTCCCCCACCCCCAAATTCATGTTGAAGTCTTACCCCCACGATGTGATAGTATTAGGATAGTGTTAGGGCCTTTGGGAGGTAATTTGGTTTGGATGAGGTCCTGAGGATGGAGACCTTTTAAAGGTCATGAGAGAGCTTGCCTCCCCTCTCTGCTCTCTGCCATGTGGGGATGCCAGGAGAAGTTGGCAGTCTGCAACCCGAGAGAAGGATCTCTCCAGAACTTGACCACAACGGATCCCTGATCTTAGACATTCAGCACCCGGACCCTGAGAAATAAAGGTCTGTTCTTTATAAGCCATCCAGTTTGGGGTATTTTGTTATAGCAGCTCATACTGACTAAGGCACTCCCCAACTTTGACGCAGCCTGACTCTGTCTTCAGAGACAACCAAGGAATCTGTGTTCGAGCGGTGTGACATGGTTACCCAGAGGCAGGGTGTGGTGAATCACTTGGGGCACCTGTTTAAGATTCAGCTCCCCAGGCTCCACAGGCCACTCTGAGCTGTAGCCGTGGGGTGAGGCTGGTGATTCTGAGGCAAAAGGATCTCCCTGGCCCCGGGAGAAACTTGTAGCAGGGAAGCACCCTCCCTTCCACATGCCCCACCTTTTGAGGGGCGGCTCTCCTTCCCAGAGTACTCTCGTCCGTGTTCCAAGTACCTCTCACACTTGCCATAATTACTGCTTCCTTCTCTCCAGATCAGGTGGCCTTCTGCCCCACAGTGTAATTCTCACACCCTTTCTCACTTACAGTGCTCTGTTCTCCTCAGGGCCCAGGCAAACCAGGGGAGAAGGCTCAGACAACATCCAACTCCACTCAGGGCCACTCAAGCCTCAAATTAGGGCTCTGATTCAGTTGACAGCCCCAGGCTGTGCCCTAGAGCCCGGAACAGGGAGGCACCAGCCCTGCCCTGGGGGGACTTAGTTGTTAGTAGGAAATGAGACACAGAAGCAGATTATTCCAATATCCTATGGAAAGAGCTGAAAAGAAGTACGAACTGGGTCCCTTGGGAGCGCAGATCAAGGGCCTTTTGCCCAACATGCCCAACGTTCCGAGAAGTTTCCTGATGCAGGCAACATCTGACACGGCTGTGAAGAGCTAGGATTAGTCTAGATCGGGAACTGGCAAACTACATACCATGGGCCAAATCCAGGCAATTGGAGGTTTTTATACAACCCACGGACAAGAATAGTTTTTACATTTTTAAAAAAAGATTTTATTTATTTATTTGAGAGAGAGCATGAGCAGGGGGCAGAGGGGATGTTCAGAAGGAAGAGGGAGAAGCAGACTCCCCACTGAGCAGGAAGCCCGACATGGGACTCGATCCCAGGCACCTGAGATCACGACCTGAGCCGAAGGCTTAACCGACTGAGTCACCCAGGCACCCCTTTGCATGTTTAAATAATTGGAAAAAAATCAAGAGAACAATAATATTTCACAACTACAAGAAAATGATATGGAATTCTAATTCTCTGTGTCTATAAATAAAATTTTATTGGAACCCAGCCATTTTTGTTTGTTTATGTATTATCTGTGGTTGTTTTCATAACTTGAGTAGCTGCCACCAAAACTGTGTGGCCTGCAAAGCCTCAAATATTGAGTATCTGGCCCTTGAGAGCACAGGCGTGGCAGCCTGCAGCCCAGGCCGAGGCACAAGGTGAGGGCACCACCCGCTCGGAGCAGTGTTGTCAGGGCGGGGAGGGTCAGGTGGGGAGAGGTGGCAGACGGGGCCGAGGGAAGAGCATCAGGGCGGCCGGCGGCCTTGCTCGGACATGGCCCTGTGCATAATGGGGAGCACTGGGAAGGAGAGAAATGTAGCAATAAGAACCTAACCCCAGGGTCAAGTTGGGGATGGGTAGCCAGTCAGCCCTGAACAGTCTGAGGGGCTGGAGCCCCACAGGTGGAAGAACAGTACAAAAAAACATGTAAAAGGAGCAAAGAAGGGGCGCCTGGGTGGCTCAGATGGTTAAGCGTCTGCCTTAAGCTCAGGTCATGATCCCAGGGTCCTGGGATCGAGTCCCGCATTGGGCTCCCTGCTCCTTGGGAGCCTGCTTCTCCCTCTGCCTCTCTCTCTCTGTCTCTCATGAATAAATAAATAAAATCTAAAAAAAAAAAAAAAAAAAAGGAGCAAAGAAGGATGAAGGAAAGCCCTCCCGTTAGGCAATTTTGTGGGAGCCATCACCGCTCTTGCAGATGCTTAGTTTGTATAAATAGAGGTCTTAGCTTCATTATTTATTTTCCAAGTCCCTAATGAGTGTCTCCAGTGGGAAGTTGCCCTTTTGCACTTTCTCAGCTCAGGGGCTGGAAGATACGGTGTTGTACCTAAAGGCACTTAATAGAGCACCACGTAAACACCCGCTGCTCTTGATCGACTGAGCCAAAATCAGGGCCAGGTCACCCTGGGACAGGTTAAATGGGTCAATATTGTCTTTTCTCCAACATTTGCCACTATTTGCAATTTATCCCAGAGGCACTTATTCTCAATTCATTTCGGGCCACTCTCTGAGTGACTTTTTGCATGTGGTTGTGCTCGTGAGTTGCTAGTTTGGCAAACAGGGTATCCCTTGCCATTCATCTCCATTCAGGGACAACTAGCATAACCACCACGCCCTTGATGAGCTCTCTAGATAGTTATACTCAATATTGGGGGGGTGAGGGGGAGACTAAAGATCCGTGACTAATCCAGTTCGTATTTGGCAATTCATCATTGAGCCGTTCTTCCAGTAAAAGAGGTGAAGGTCAGGCAGTGCGGGAGGAGATCAAGGAAGGGGGAAACACTTCAGAGAATCTTGAACCTCAAGTGTACCATGGAGCTTTGTGTCCTGCACGGTATAATAAGGATTATACAAGGATTTGGAAGCCATAGGAAATGCTTTCTCGGCGCTAATTTGTCTTCATTTACTTTTTTGGGGGGGGTGATGAAATCAGAATTATTTTTAAATAAGAAAGAGATAAAAACCCAACCCATTAAAAGGTACCAATTAAATATTCATAAACACAATCCCACATCCTTCATGGGCAATCTTCCAGGGGAGGTAGCTGTCTCCCGCTTATGGGGGGCGGGGGGACTAACATCTCACTGGGAGTCCAGTGGCTGACTCTGGGCCGGCCGCCACACCCACATCTCAACAGTCCTTTGAAACTGAGTGCTGCCTCCTGTGTTCATATTTCTCCACTTTTTTGGTTTCCTTTCTAAACAACTACCACAAATGCAAACTTAAGTTGCCTCCACTGGTCCTTTCTCCCAGATTCTTACCTTTTCTTTCTGGGAGGAGGCAGGCAACAGAAAAGCAGGCTTTCGGTGGTGCACATAAACCTAAGGGTGTGTTCTGAATTGATTAGGGAATATGATATGTCCACCAGCCTTGAAAACCAGTGACATCACATCAGCTCCCACGGCCCCTTCCCTCCATAATTAAATGGGGTGAAAGATGGTTTCTAAAAGCTCAGTATACTGTGGATGAGGGTTTCAGTGACCAAAGCAGATGCCAAGAGTGCATGTGAATTAACAAACAATTGGACAGAAAACAAAAGATACTGAAGTGATATTTAGAAATTCCCTCTTCTATAATGATCTGGAAGCAGGACCAGCCGCATACTTGGTGGGGTCCAGTACTAAATGAAAAATGCAGGGTCCCCAGTTCAAAATTATTACAAATTCTGAGAGCAGAGCATTAAACCAGGAGCAGGCTCTTCAGAGTGCAGGCCCTGGGCAACGGTGCAGGTCTCATGCCCATGATAGTTTAAGGCAGCTTTCAAGACGTGTCTAATTTACTCAAGGAGAGTTAATTTACCCACTAAGAGTTTGTCGCAGAGAGCAAGATTAAAATGTCCTGGAATAATTTTTCTTTAACCTTGCAGAGGAACGAATCTACCTATGACATGCCTATCAAGTAGGTTCAAACAGGTTCTTGTCAGTGGGATTCTCATGCTGGGGAAAGTCATCAAGACCCATTTGAGTACCACCCGTGTCTGCAAATATCCCCATGTTAGCCGAACTCAACACACTTTGGAATTGTCGTACCTCCGGATAAAAAACAAATAAATAAAAAACTCTGTTGATAATAGGGGGTTTTGAACCTATACTCAGATATTTAGGAATCCCATTTCCTTTGCTGCTTTTTCCTTTCATAAAAATGTATTCACTGCTGTCGGCAATTACACTCAAACGTGTTGTCTACTTATGTGCTTGATTGGAAGTTATTTGACAAGTCAGTGTGAAGAGCAATTAGTGTGATTTTTGGCTACAGAACAGAGGGTCAGTAGATGACCCAAGTCTTTCAAGTCTTGAAAACTAACACGGATGTGGGATCAGGTGAGAGAAGGAAGGAGGAGCACTGGAAATGGTGGAGGAGCTGGGAGAGGAGTCATCCCACAAGACAGAAAAACACCAGGGAACCTGCTCTTGGAGGCAGTGGAGATGGGGCAGGGGGCGCCCAGAGCAGCTACCCAGGGAGTGAGCTCAGGGAGCAGGTGGGCCAGCAGGCTAGTCAGGCCCTGTATTCCCACACCTCCCTGCCCCTGAGGCAGGTACCTGAATGTAATGAGCAGAAGCAGGCAGGAGCCGCACGTAGGACCAAGAGGAAGGGCAGACCTAAGACCAGCAAGAGGATAAGCCAAAGTCCACAGTTAAGGTAGGCCTCTGGTCAGACTGTGGCTGCTAACATTTCTTTGGCCAAAGGAATTCACACGGCCACGCCCAAAGTCAGCCACTGGGAAAGTACCCCGGACCCCAGCTAGTACAGTACAAGGTCATGTGGCCAGAGGAGTAAAGACTCTAGAACAATCCAGTGCAGCCAGGGTGACGGACGGCTTCCCACCAGAGGCTCTGCTTCCCTCCCCAACTAAGGTTCACAAAGTCTGACCCATGGAGAAAGTTCAGGAAGGCCTCGGGCCATGGGGCACATGGGTCTCCAGGGGTGGAGGAGATGGGGCACTGCTGTGAAGAAGCCGGCAGAGCAGTTCTGAGGGGCTCTGGCCGCCAAATGCAGTTGTCCCAGTGGCAGTTATACCCCTGAACACCCAAAGGACCCATTCTACTGTTAAGACGGTCAAGGGCACTCCAGGGTCCCACCCCTGGCATGCTGACTGCTGGGGGGACCACAGGGAGAAGCAGGAGCAGCTCATGGGCCACTGTCGAGCCAGGAGGCCGTGCTGAGAGAGGGGGTCTGGGGGACAAAATGGAGCTTCCCGAAGTCTGGAGTGTGAAATGCTCAGCGTTCATCCATCCCCAGGCCCGTGAGGCTGGAACCAGAGGAGAAACGGGCATGTGGAAAGAGGCCGGTTTGGCTCATCTAGGCTGAGGTGGCAGGTGAATTCCAAGAGAAGTCTGGCAACAGAAGGCGCAAGTGGGTTGGAGAGACAGAGCCTGGACGTATCCTGGGAGTCAAGAGCACTGGGTCAGAAAGTCCTTTGGGAACTTCTGTGCTGAGCCCAGGGGTGTGGAGGCCATTGTGCAGGGCACCCAGCCCCCTGGGACAATGACTCCACTTTACCAATGAGAATCACAGTGCTGGTTAAGAACCCATGAACAGGCAACTTCTATAATGCCGTTAGGTTTATGCAATCCACTCATTTGAATAGTTTTTAATTAGATGACCAGTTGAGCCTTTAATCAATGATGTTTGGAGTTCTTAACCAATAATGTTTGGAGCTCCTAATCAATAATGTTTGGAGCTCTTAATCAAAAATGTTTGGATAAAAGGGCTTCTGCCATGTGCATTGGGAGGATCTAGGGTTCTAAAATTTTTTCCAATGAGCAAATAACCAATTTATATGTGTACGGTGCCTTTAAATTTTTGCATTAGAGTTAGCGGGGATTCCTGCTGGCCATGACCTTGTGGCCCGTCTTGCAGGAAGAGGCTGCAGCTACAACAATGGCAAGAAGGGCTGTCGCTCCAGCCTTGCCTGGCTGGCCGGTGACTGACCCAGCTGCAAGGCGACAGGGCCGGGGCAGGCGGGGCTGCTGAGGGGATCGGGCCCGCGTGAGCTGGGAGGCTGTTCTTGCACCCAGGCCCTCCAGCCCTTGGATCGGTATTAACATGCCCAGGACACAAAGCCGCCTCACCTCTTTTAGCCATACTCCCTTCTGAGCACTGGAGTGCAAAAGGCTCCTTCTTTGCATCCTGGATCTTTTTTTTCCATAGTAAAAAGGCAGAAAAAGAGGTGGGAGGGAAATGTACATATATGCCATGTGTGTTCTTTGGAATGTATGATAGAGTTCACAACTTAAAAAATGTTGACAAAGGGAAAGATGAAGGCCATGGGATTTTTATATGAGATCCCTCTGGGCAGGTGTCTCATTTTCCTCCCCGAGGTGCTGCCTTCTGGAGAGAGTTGGGGTGGGCTCAGAACTCCCAGCTTCAGCCTCACTTTCTCACTGCGGAATGAGGGGGTTCAGCTGGATGATTGCTGGGGCAGCTCACCTCCCTAGCTCTAGCCTTCTATGATTCTGTGTTCCTGGCCCCCTTTCTGTAATGGGCACCCATTTTTTTTTTT